CCAAGCTCCCCGACGTGACGAGTTTAAGTTTTCTAAGGTGTCCATTTATGGTGTCAAATCAAACGACTCTATGGTTGTAGTCCTCTAAATGTCCTATATAAAAGAAGGCATGCTTAAAGTTATATAATATAAAATATGCAGTACATGATAAACAGTAGGATGCATGTAGAACAGTAGTAGGCAAAAACAGTATAACATGTTGTATAGAAAGAACAGTAGCAGGTAGAAACAAGACAAGTATAATATGCCGTACAGAAAGAACACTAGCAGGTAAAAACAGGAAAATGAAGTGCTGTAAAATGTAAAACAAACCTGTACGCCCGTGAGATCCGCCGTCTCTTCAGTTTCTTAAGTATAGCAAACCTAAATGCATCTCAAAAGCGAAGTGTGGAAGAAACGTTGTCCAAGAAATCCAAGGAAGAGCAGAAAACTCGAGAAAATCAACGAGGAAACACTCAAGTAAAAGAAAATCCTCAAAAATCCTGGAGAAATCCCGAAAAAAGGAAAAGTAACACAAGTGCCCTGTCCTAAAGCTTTGATAAAACAAAAAAAAAAAGGATGAGGGGGACCGCAAGCACTCGTATGGGACTAGACTCAGTTGTATATTTATTCTCGAGGGTCCACGAAGGCTACTCGGTCACCCGAATGTATACAACCCGTCACTCGCCTAGAAGGGTGTCTTGAACCTCACTTAGAGGGCTATTTCCTAGCCTAAACAGGTATTCGTCAGGTGGACAACATTAAAGTACGTCTTATGTTTTTTAACATGCATACAAATTTTAAACATGCAAATAAGAGTTATCAATTTTGTTTCGTGGAAAAGTATGTTTTTTCTTGAAAACTTATATATATATAAATTTTTAGAAATTTTTATTGTCCATTAGTCGATTACACTGTCGGGCATGGGGCTGTCAATCATCTGAGGAGGTTCGAGCCAAATCACGCTAGACTTATGTCGGTGAAAGATACCATATCCCATTGTTCATCAAATGCCTGGATCTTGATGTTATAGGATAGGGCATCTTTCTGCTCTATCTTCGGTGTGTCTTTTTCATCAACACCGTACGCCCCAAAACGACTACTTGCGATCTTGCTTGATGGCTTCACGTATAGCAAAAGGCTATACGTGGACACTTATGCATCGGACATAAGCATCAAAAAGAACGAACCAAGAAGCAAGGAAAAAAAAGAACAAAAATGGGGTGAGAGAGAGGAAGCACTGATCCATCTAAAACACCAAAAAGGAGAATAAATCAGTTCTCAAAAACTCGTATCGAAAGAACCTTGAAAAGTAGGGCCCAAGGTCTTTCCTAACAAACATAAAGGATCACTTTGCGCTGATTTTTCAAACCTCAAAGACGTAGGATTGATCAAGTCCACCAAATGCTTTTTCAAAATGGGGTTTAAAATCTCCCAAACTTCAAAAGAAAATGACCTCGGGGAAGCCACCACTAATATTTCCAAACTCATGCCGAAATCAAAATTCCCCCAATTTCGAATTAATAGATAGCCTCGTGTATCGAATAAGCATAAAATTTTTCCACATAATCTAAATAAATGCTCAGGGCTGGGGCCAATAGAGAAGAGAAAGCAACCACCAAGGCTCTCGGCTAAGACAAGGAAAGAGGCCAAATGGGGCTTACGGCTAAGGCAAAAGATAGTTACCAAGACCCATGACCAAAGGAAACCAAAGGGGCAGCGAGTGAGGCTCGCGGCTGAGGCAACAAAGAACCTAGAAAAGAACCACCAATGACTACTATGCTTCCCTGACAAACATAAGAGGATAACTAAAGTGATTATAATTTTTGGGATGACAAACTTGATTCATCCACAACATTCAAGCCAATCAAGCCTAGCAAGAAGAACCAAATCACACCCAACAACCTCCAATAGGCCTCATGGGTAAGGACCAAAAGGGAGGTTGATTCAACCACACCACAAACCCACGGCTAGGCATCAAGCAAATATCAAATTGCGGCCTCATAAACTGCCAAATCAATCCATCAAAACCAAATAACAGCCTTCGAATGGAGACAACACAGCACAACCAAAACAGGCTCTCGTGCAAAAGCCGAAACCAACAAAAATCAAAAAGAACTAAGCTATTTCTCGGGTAGGAATTAAAACCAGCAAAGCCATCTCTCGGGTAGGGGCCAAAGGCAAGCAAAGCAAGCTATCAAAACTCTCAAGTAAAGACAAGTTTTAAGGACTCAATCATGGGCTCTCGAGTAAGAGCTAAAACAAGCAAACCGAGCTCCCAAGTCAAGCCAGGACTGAGCCACAACTAAGGTTCGAATTCGGGTTACAACCGAATAGCAACAAAAGGGTAGAAAACATCTTCATATCCTCAAGACATCAAAATATAGAACTAAAGCATGTTTTACACAAGAACAGCTATGGAATTCTTCCAAATCAACATAAATTCATTCATCACTTGTATATTTAAGCTAAGACACCCGTGGGATGCCAAAATCGAGCCCAACAGGGGCCAAAACCGAGCCTAACAAGGACCAAAACTAAGCCCAGCAATATTAAAATCCAGCCTTCCATAAAAATTAAAGTTCTAGCCATTTCAAGCCAAAATCGAGACTCCAAACCAAGCCAAAACCGAGTCAAGTGAAGGAACTTGCATGTCTAAATATTTCAAGCATAAAACAATTCCAACAGATATTTGAACAAACAGATATTTGAACA